CCTTTCTGTTTCCCAAGCAGTTGTGTTTCTTTTCAATAAACGAATTTTTTGGCTTTGAAAACATTCTTTATTATTGCATTAAGTAAAAGATACCTTAGCCCAGGAAAGAAACAAGCACTGCAAGTCAGAGTATCATACGTAGCAAACACAGATTCCTACTAACATTGGAACCACTGCACTCCAGTCCTGTGCAGGGCACCACCGGTGGCTTTCAGTCTCAAATTGCTCCCTCAAGGGATCCCTAATCCTTGCAGCCCCGCGCTGGGCCCCTCCAATAGCCCTGCTCTCTGGCTGTTCAAATTCAGCCTCCAGGTGTTGAACCTCCGAGGTCCATGCTTGACTGAATCTTTCACCCTTCCCTTCACAAATGTTATGGAGGGTACAGCATGCGGATATAACCGTGGGGATGTTGTCATCGGCCAGGTCCAGCTTCCCATACACAGTTATTCTGCACCGACTCAGCCTGTTGTTGAACCGCTCCTTGCTGCTGTCAAGGCTCCCTGTGTAGGGTTTCATGAGCCATGGCATTAAAGGGTAAGCGCGGTCTCCAAGGATCACAATGGGCATTTGACTTCCCCTATGGTGATCTTCTGGTCTGGGAAGAAAGTCCCGGCTTGCAGCTTCCTAAAGAGGCCTGTGTTCCAAAAGATGCATGCGTCATGTACCTTTCCGGACCAGCCTGCGTTAATGTCAATGAAACACCCCGGTGATCCACAAGCGCCTGGAGAACCATAGAGAAATACCCCTTCCGATTTATGTACTCGGAGACTAGGTGGGCTGGTGCCAGAATTGGAACATGCATCCCATCTATTGCCCCTCCGCAGTTAGGGAAACCCATTTGTGCAAAGCCAGCCACAATGTCATGCACGTTACCCAGAGTCACGGCTCTTCTGAGCAGGATGCGATTAATGGCTCTGCAAACTTGCATCAACATGATTCCAACAGTCGACTTTCCCACTCCAAACTGGTTAGCGACCTATCGGTAGCTGTCTGAAGTTGCCAGCTTCCAGACTGCAATATCCATGCGCTTCTCCATCGTCAGGGCAGCTCTCAATCTTGTGTCCTTGCACCGCAGGGTGGGGGCGAGCTCAGCACACACTCCCATGAAAGTGGTTTTTCTCATGCGAAAGTTCTGCAGCCACTGCTCGTCATCCCAGACTTGCATGACGACGTGATCCCACCACTCAGTGCTTGTTTCCCAAGCCCAAAAGCGGCATTCCACTGTGGTAAGCATGTCCGTGTATGCCACAAGCAATCTTGTGTCACAAGCGTAATGCGAGTCAACATCAACGTCGGACCCCTCACTGTCAGTTTGTAGCTTAAGGAGTAACTCAACTGCCATTTGTGACCCATCAGCATATTCCTCAGCAGTTCAGGCTCCATTCCTGCAGACAGAAAGGGAAGACAGAGCGCGCAGTACAAAAAAACGTTGAAAGATGGTGCCAAATGTTGACGGAAGCACAGGGATTGCTGGGATGCGAAGCGATGAATCATGGGGCTTTGGGACAGGACCCATAATGCCCCACACCCCCACATCCCCTTCCCACAAACCACAGCGCCAGAATGGGAAGAGGTGCTCTGTGGGATAGCTGCCCATAATGCACCGCTCCCAACGCAACTGCAAGTGCCGCAAATGTGACCACGCCAGTGCGCTTGCAGCTGACAGTGTGAACACACTGCAGCGCTTTCCCTGCTGCTGTTCCTGAGGGCTGGTTTAACTCACAGTGCTCTACATCTGCAAGTGTAGCCATGCCCTTAGTGATCTTGGACACCACCACCAGATCTCCTAGAAGTTCTGTAGCATGCAGGTCTGTCATCACTGTTTTTAAAAAGAAGAAAAGTTCTGCCCTAGGTCAGGGTACTACAGTATCTTGGTCATAATTTAGCTCTCTTAAGTTTTCATAGTTATTCAGCTGTACGAGTGAGAAGGAAAAATTCTCAGGTATCAAGTATCTTTGTTTTTAAATCTTTTGTAACTTAAAAGGAAATGAACTAATTATTCTGAATAATGACTTGGCTTGATGTGCCATTAAATTTTAAAAAGATAGGGATGGCCAGTAACTACTGCAATACATTCTTCTCTGGCCACCAGTCCAAAACTAATACTTTGAAAAGTTTACTGGTCCAGAAATACTTGTATTACTCTGACAAAGTATTCTTAGCAATTTTCAACACATACAGTTCTTACATACAAACTGCAAGTTCACATAAGCTTACTGTAATGCTTCTTCAATGAGGCCATTACTCCATTGAGACTTGTTTGATTTAACAGCAATTTTTCTTTAAAACATTACATTAATGACTAGCTTCAGACGTATTAAGACAAAAATTAAATCTCTCTTCCTGGCTTTCCAGCAGCCCTTCAACATCTAAAACAGTCTCCATTCATCTTAGACAACCAAAGAAAACCCCATACAAAAACCCCAACCCCACCCCTCCCTGCCCTCCCAGTGATGGCATCTTGGGTCCATTACTCACAAATTTAAAAGAATATACGAGGGAAAAACAGGATGGCTTAACTATAGAAAATTAAAGATGACTTCTCAAGGATCTTCTTCCAATAAGTATGTTAGAACTCAGCATGCCTTATTTTTCTTATATCATAAATCCTAACCACTTCCATGTATTGTTTTGACTTTATTTTATATTGTCTTTAATTTCAGAGCATATCAAAGGTAACTAACATCCCTTCCACTTATGATGTTTAATGTCACAGACCATTAATGAGGCAAACATCTTAGTTAAAAATTAGTAATAGAAGAACAGCACCTATAGTTACACTACCTAGCATAAAATTACAAGATCTATCCATCTTCATGATTCAGAATTATTGCACATTTACTTTAAGATCAAGCTAAACAAGGAACCAGGTTTCAGAGTAGCAGCCGTGCTTATGCTCTAATAAATTTGTTAGTCTCTAAGGTGCCACAAGTACTCCTGTTCTAAACAAGGAAAAGGTTTATAGAGCATCCATATATGGAACTGTTCTAGAATAACTACAGCACTTTAAATTCATACCCTACCTTATTCCAGAATAACTTCTGTGTAAACAAGCTGTGAAGTGCATAATGCTTTTAGTCTGAAGCATTTGATATTAGCCGAAGGCAGAGGTAGGAGAGCATGCTAAAATGGACAATTAGTCTTTTCTAGTCTGACACTGTCTGTTCTTAAATTTCTAACAACGTGAAATATACAAGACCAAATGACAATCTTAGATGCACAGGCATGAACTAAGTGCCATTTGCATTGTGTATTCATGTGATAGAGCCACAGTATGCACCCTGCTTATCTTGTAAAATGAGGTACTCCACAGGCACATCATCTGGTTACACAAGATAAAAAGTGATTCTTCCACATAAGATCATGACCTAGCCCTTGTTATCTAATGGCATATTCATCTTATTTTAACTTCAGACAAAAGCACAAAAATTTGATATTAAAGGCAGCTGAACATGTTTGGGTTATTTCTGTTGATGACCAAAGCTTAAAATGAACCTAGTCTTACAAATTGAAAAAATAGTGGAAAAATAAGTTTTCATATTGAGATAAGCTTTATATAATTATTTTAAAACAAGAAAATTAGATTTTTAATGTATCTTTTCCCAAAAGAGTATACATGCTGCTTTGACTATATTACCATAGAGATCTCTATGGCAACCTCTGAAAATGAAGCCTAGGTAGACCTAGTAGCATCTCTAAGCATCTAATGAACACCAAGAACTCACATTTATATATTACGTTTTTTAACTCCTCAGGGATGGAGGCAAGAAAATTACCAGAATGTAAAATGTTTCAAATTAAGCAGTCGTCTGCAACTCAAATTATTGCAATCAAAACTTTTTTCAGTGCTACACTTTACTTCTTTCCACTTTGTACAGGGCAAGAAGGTGAATTACAAAAAAATACTGAATTGATCACAGCATCTTTACATTAGTTGGAATTAGGACTTTTAAGGAAAAAAAGGTAAAAACCTCTCTATACTCTGGAAGACATAAGTAGAATGTAGCGGGGTGGTTACCCCGCTCCTGCCTGAGGGGTTTAAAACAGCCCTGGCAGAGAGCTGGGGCAAAGGGAAAAGCTACTGGGCTGATTGGGGAAGTAGCCACAGCTGGGCCACGCCCCAATCAGGCCGGGAACAAAGAGCTCAGCAGTCTCTCTCTGCCTTCAGAGAGAGAAGGGCCTGGTTGCAGCAAGCTAGAGACAGGTTACCTGAGTGGAGTAGGGCTGGGGAGCTCCAGCCTGGAAAGCCTCAGGCGGTGGCCTAGCGGAAGGCCAAGGGGTACTGGGGGTTGCAGAGGGCAGCCCAAGGCTAGGCCAAGGCAGCAGGTCCAAACCCAGCCTTGGCGATGATGAGTGGCCTATACTACAGTCTGCCCCAGGGAGCGGGGGCTAGTTGGTGACTGGCAGTGGCCTTATCCTGAGGTGAGGCAGGGATAGTGGGTAGGGGTTCCCCAGGGAGGGGAGACCCTAGTACTGAGGGGTGTACTGCCAGGGGGCAGCACCCCAGATACAAGGGCACTGGGGTCCGGGAGGGACATGGGGCCAGAGGACAGGCGGATCACCAGCCTGCAGAGGGCGTTCTGACAGCTGGATAGAGCTAATTCCCAGAAGTAACCAGCAGGAGGTGCTGCAGGGGTGAGTCTGCTCCTCTACACAGAACAATGTTATAAATTAGTTTAGCTCTTTTATCGGGTAGTTATATGCCATATAAATGCATATGTTACGACAAGTAGATGGCAGAATATCCTATGGTGCTGAAAAATACAGACTATTATACATGCAATAAGACATGTCAGTTACATCTAAACAGGACAAGCTTACGGGGCTTCTCGTTTTAGGAGTAAATAAGTATTTATATGTAATATAATGGTATAACTTCAAAAAAATAGGTGCTAAAAATGTGAAAAGATGATTAATCTAGCACTCAAGTAATGTAAATATTAAATTAAACATAAGCCCTGTTAAATGCACCTTTGTGATACTGAAAACATGCCACTTACCTTTCCAGTTTTGGCAACTGCTGCTTGGATTGAATGGCTCGGATACATTCCGCAAAGTACTCTGGCTTTATAATTGGTCGATTGCAAATCAAAGCACATATAGTCTGAAAAGAAGGAAAGATTCATTACCATACTTAACAATTCAAGCAGAATATGCTATCAACCAAAAAATAGTATTGAAATCTAATATTTATGTAAGGTCTCAAATGTGGAATGTGTGTTACATAAGTGCATGACAATTCTACTCGGGCTAACGTAAACAAACAAAACCAAATAGTTTTGTTCTTACACCCATCACTTATTCTTTATCATTGGAATTATGTTGACAAAAGCCATTAAACGGAATAATCCTTTTTATTACTAACCTACTGGCGAGCAATCTTTAAAAAAAAATTAGAAAAAGGAAAATCAGTGATGCTATACAAACAGTCTTATTTCGCCACAAAAGAGCCCTACATGCAAATTTACAAAATAGAATATTTAGATATCAAATGGCGGGTAAAATGATTGCTATTGCTAACATCTCTTTTCTATGTAGTAGTTTGACGTTTCTACGGCCTTGTCTACATTACAGTTTTGTCGACAAAAGTCAGGTTTCGGTGACAAAGCAGTGGAGGTGTAAACACAACAATGCTCCTCGCACCGATTTAACTCTCCTGTTATGCCGATATAATAAAACCACCTCGACAAGCAGCATAGAGCTTTTTGCAACAAAGTTAGAGCCACAGTGTCAGTGTAGACACTGTGCTTGCTTACGTCATCCTAAGTGGCCTCCAGGAGGTGTCCCACAATGTTCATCATGATCACTCTGGTAAGCAGTTTCTACTCCGCTGCCCTGCAGTCAGGTACACAGGCATACACCCCTCCGCATTTAAAGCTCTGAGAATATTTGAAATTCCACTTCCTGTTTGCTCAGCACCGACAGCTCACATTGCAGCTTCCCAGCTGACAATGATGGCTTTCCGCAGCAAACGCGCTCCCACCTGGAGTATACCAAAGTTGCTGGATCTGTTGGGCGAGAAGGCTGTGCAGTCACAGCTCCAATCCAGCTGTAGGAACTTTGACGCCTACAAACAGAGTGCTCGTGGCATGGATGAGAAGAGGCATAAAAGGGACATACAGCAGTGCCATGTTAAAATCAAGGAGCTGAGACAGGCGTACCAGAAGGCAAGGGAAGCCGAAAAGGCAAGGTTGCAGTGCTGAAAACATGCTATTTCTATAAGGAGCTGCTCACCACCCTTGGCAGCAACTCCTCCTCTATCTCTAAGAGCCCCATAGATACTTTGGGGGGAATGGAGGCAGTGGCCAGCGGAGTCAATCCCAAGGACAAAGTAGTAGATGAGGAGGTTAGACAGGTAACAGGCTCATCCGTTGGCATGGTGAGCCAATACCTCTTTTTGACTCTGGAAGGATGTAGCCTGTCCCAGCAGTGGCATGCCTGAAGTGGTAATTACTTTTTGTTTTTTGATAGTGCACAGTCACATGAGGTAGAGATGTCCTTTATTTTGTTACATGGTGCACATGGGAGAAGAGATCGAAATTAACAACACTAGATACTGTTTGCATCTGCTTCGCATTCCCTTGTGCAGTACGCAGTGGGGGCTCTGCAGAAAAGTTGGTTAATGCACACTGAGATCTCCCAGGAATACTCCGTAAAGATCTCTAGGAAACGATTTTCCTGCAGATACTCTGCAATGGTTCCTTGGTAGAGCCACTTTGTTTTTGCCCCCATTATAGGAAACTTTGCCGCACCAATCTGCAATTACTTCTGGAGTAAGCAAAGTAGCACACAGGCAAGCAGCATACGGACCTGGTTTGAAGCCGCATGCATGCATGCAGGAGATGCACCCTTGTATCTTCGGTTACCTTCAGTAGTGTGATTTCAGTTTTGATTACCCTTGCTTGTGGAAAACGTTGTCACTATTCATAATATTGCCCATGGCACTTGTACTGATCCCCTTCTGAAACCACCCAGATCCCTTTGTCCCATCTTGCACCCCCCACTCCAGGCCAAACTCCCCATGTTTAATGCTTGGCTGTGCTGCGTGCTTGCCAAGGGAAAGTGAGAAAGAGGTATATGTAACATTTATAATTCAAGACCCTGAGTGTACACACAATAATGACTCTGTGTATTGTTTCTTTTGCTTCTGCAGATCTGCTCTTGAGGGCCAGCTTCTACACACCAGCAGAGTACCTCCGTCAGATAAGGAGGCGAACAAGGAGGAGAAAGGAGGACATGTTTGTGAAGTGCTGCAATAGTCAGATCAGGCAGATAGCAAGAACACAGCTTGGAGAGAGACAATAAATGAAAAACTAGAAATCGATAACCAGAAAGGAGACCGGGCAGGAGCGGGTAATAGAGAGTTGGGAGCGATGATAAAGCTCATGAATGGGGCCATATCAAATTCACATCCACTTCGATCAATTTCACGGCCAGATGGTTTTCAAATTGGTCAATTTCACATCTTCATAATCTGAACCCACCACTAGGTGCTTGTTTCCCAAGCCCAGTAGCGACAGTCCACCACTTGCAGCTGTTCCATGAATGCCAACATCTATCTTGAATTGTTTCTTTCCATGGCACACAGCAGGACAGGCATCACAGATTCCTGTTCAAATTCCCAGCTCATGACATACTGAAGAATCAGCCACATTGTGTTTGTAATGTTTATCACAGGACTGGTGAGCAGCGCAGGATCCATGCTTTCAGGCAGAGATGGCAGGTGAAAAGTTTACAAGGGCAGTTTAAAAATGGCGTGAAACGTAGTTGGAGGCCATTGGAATTATAGGACGGAGAAAACTGTATTATGTCCACCCTCGTACTGTACTGCAAACCATTCCCAGAATTCCTAGAAGGAGAAGGTGGTGATTTACACAATGGGATAGCTACCCACAGTGCACTGCTCTCTCTGTTGGTGCTAGAGCACCAACTGAGGACGCGCTCCATTGATACAAGGAGCATTATGTGAACCTGCACAAGCAATGTAATTACAGTGGTTTACGACAGTCGATGTAAGTTGACTTAACTCTGTAGTGTATACCTGGCCTAAGTTGAATGTGCTATTTTTAGAAAAGAAAACTAAGCTACTGTTTATTCTCTTCTTGATGTAGAGGTGAAACTAATAGGAAGTTATTAACATAGATCAAGTGAAGAATTGTATCCTCTTGTCAAGAGAAGAAAAAAAAAAAAACCAAACAGTTTACTCAACTCTGCCTCCTATCAGTGCTACATCCGCTCACTGGCTAGAAGGACAAAAAGCGGTGGAAAAATGAATATTTTAAATTTGAAAATTTGAAATAAAATATGTCATTCAAAATTTAAAAACAATTGTTTCACTCAGAACTTTGCAAATTTAGAACAATTTAAACTGGAAAAACAATATGGGGAATGTTTAGCCAGCACTAATAAGTAGCCTATGCAACTGACTAATCACAGGTTATCAAGGCCAAGGACTTCTTGAGTTTC